AAAACCGTTATTGTATGCTACGCTAGCCAATAACTCCTAATGAATTATTTTACAAATAATTCTCGTTATTGGCTGCTCCGCACCCAATAACTATATAGTATTTATTGCAGTACTGCCAACTAAATCGAAAAGAGTGATAACTCTGATTGGACCAAATGTAATGCAAATTTTGTGTAATTGAAATTCTTGGTGGATTCTTGGGATAGTTCGTATCCGTAGAATTTCAGTTAGAGGACGGGCAGCATTAAAAAATTAAACCAGAAAAAAACCAGAATTGTGGGCCTGATCAAAATTTCATGTAATTTTGAATTATGTGAATAATGTAACCAAAAATTTCATTATACCTGGCGTACTTTTGAATGTAGAATTGTAGCTCTGAACGTAGTGATAGATCTTTATAATTGGTACAATCATGTGCCAATCCATTATCAGATGCAATATTACATTACAATTTTGTAAGTTACAGTGTAACGTAAATGTAATTTATGTAATTTTTAACCTACCTGACATGTCAAAACACAGTAAAATTCGAGCTGAACTTTAGAAAACATAACGATAATAAACTTTATTTTTACAGACCATGCGGACCGGCAAAAGGACAATCTTTTAGGCCCCTATTTCCGTTTTACAAATGTGGTAATGTACATACAGTACTAGGCTGATAAAATTGAGAGTCAAGCCTCATTTTCCCTTGGCAGCAGAACAATAAAAAAAAAAAAAAATGATATGTGATGTAACATATAATCTATATTTTATGCTATATGGTTAGATGACGGTACCCAATTTCTCACGCTGTGCTGAACTGTAACTAAAAGATCTCGTAGAATTCACATGATAAAATCCAAATATTATGGTTAAAAAGGTAGGGTCCTCTGCAATCTCAAAATAAAAAATCGAACGTACGTACGTACGTACGTACCAGGTACTGTACGTCAGTGTTGGACGATAACAATATGATAATGTCTTATAGTATGTCATATAATATAGAATCAGATAAATCACTATGTCGATATAGAATCATGTCATATAATTAATTTATGACACTTCATACGTATAAGATTGTAATGTGACAAATCATGTAAGCCTATAAGTCATATGACATTATCGTCCCAACACTGCTGTACGTACGTACGTACGTACGCAAATGTTACCCGTGTAACAAGAAATTTCTTTATTTTATTACATAATGGGAAGTTCATTGTGATACCGTGGCAAAAAGCGAATAAGTATTTGTGGACAGAGAAAATAGGAGTATAAGATTAATAAATGCATATTGAAAGTATATCTAATTATATAGATAAATATTGTCCGAGTGTACGTAGCTGAGGAGGACCCCGGATAATACTAATAGGGGTACAATTATTAAACCGGACAAGAATTCTTAATTTATTTTCAAAGGTTATATTATTAAAAAGGCTTTTTGAATAAATCTAGTATTATAAAACCGGGATTGGTAAAATAAGGTTATGTACCTTAAAGTGGACACATTTTTATTAAAATGAATATCTAATATTTTAAAAAGGGTTATATAATTTAGCGCACCTGCGCTGTAACGCACCCATCTGATCAACCAATCAGATCGTAAGATCTGGTGTAACGTAAAATTGAAAAAAATAGCGATGTTCCTAAAAAATCGCTTGTAGCTCAAAATTTTGACTATGAAACTCCCTTTCGTATTCTAACAAAAAAAATTCCTCTCAAAATTTTGGGCTAGAATTCTTTTGTTAAAACGCACTACCCTAACCCTAACCTAACCCTCACCCCTAATGCTAAACTAATAAATTAATTATTGTTTTGATTTCACGTTACATCAGATCTTATGGGGTGCGTCACAACGCATAGGCTCTAAAAGATAAAATTCTTTTAAAAAAATCCATAAAAGATATATAATCGGGGTATTGTTTCAAATTTTGGCCTGCATTAAGCTTAATGCAGGCTAAAATTCGAAATTACATCCTGGGCATCAGATTCCTTTTTATGATTGGTTAGATAATTTGAAATAAAATATTTAAATTACATTATTTTGAAATTTTATATGTTAGTAAAGTTTTATGAGCTTTGCATAGTAAAAATTTAAAGCAGCTGAAAGTTTCGTGGTCAGAAGTTCTGCTGCGGTCAAGACCTTGTCCCTAACAAAAATTATGAGTGATTGAAGGTGTCGGTTTGCATGATTAAAGTGGTCAAGAATTTTGTGTGATTAAAAGTTTTACCTTAATCAGAAACTTTCTGAAACTAAAAAGTTTCACCAGTATCAAAAAATTTCTTGTATTTAGAGCTTTCACCATGGTCAGAAGCTTCACCGTAATAAAGAAAAAAAAATTGTTATGGTTAAGAATATCTTTTATAATCAAAGGCTTCCATAGTTATATGGACACTTTTTGTCGCAGTTAAATTTCCTTGATGGATTTAGACTTATTGCTTACTTCAACTGAATTTTCACAGTCTGATAATAAATTGCCAGACTGTTATGAAATATCTGATAAATATGAAATGACAGATATGTTTACTTCAACTAAATTTTCTGATAATGAATTGTCAGACTGTTATGAAACAAACAATGAATATGAAACAGGCGATGAGTATTCAAATAATGGATCAGTTCCTGAAGAATTTACACCTAAAAAAAAATGAAATTGTAGAATAAATACAAAAACTATTTTAGAAAAGGTAAGAATAGTATCAAATATGTTATTTATATTAATATCTATCTAATTAGGTTTGCATTGTTAGCAAGCAGAGTTGGCTAGTCATCCAGATGTACTCAAAATTTTGAGTCCACTATACATACAATGCAAATATTGCAAAAGATTAGTTAAACTAAAAAGAAATTATGATAAGTCATGAATTGAATCCCATGTGTCTAATAACAAATATATTAAAAACAAGGGATTTCTAGATTTGAGAAAATTCTTTGCAGTTTCTAATTCTCAAGATAGACTATCTAATAAAGATATCCTTGCTTCAGCTTATATGAAGAGAAGCATTTTAAATATATTGAATGAGTTGGTGGTTTTACAATATCTGGTGGAGCCCCACTTGCCAAAAATGTAGTACAAGAATCTTTTCCAGACAAGTTTACAAAAGATACAAAATTTTCTTATTCTAAGCTTAATTCCAATCAATCAAAAAAACTTAATAATGAACTATCAGCAAAATCTAAATGAAATATTGATCAAAAAGGTTTATGTATACATAGCTCAGAATGTGAAATTTATACTGACCAAATTGAACAAGTATGCACGAAATGTATTTTACTTACAAAGGATCTAATTTTTAAGGTAAATTTTGATTATTTGAATCTTTTTTTTTATATATACCAGGAACGGAGTTTTCCGTAAGTGAAAACGGAGAGCATGGTTTACCAAAATGTTCAAGGATGTTCGTCCACAAACTCTT